TATTTTATTGATAAATCATTATTATGTATATAATTTATTATTAAATTATATTTTTATAATATTTTTTTCTAAAAATACTAATTTGTCTATACCTTATAGAATCCAAATAAAAATATACCGATATTATTAGATCTTAAGTAAATTCGAAAAAAAATTTCGAGGTTTTTTTCCGGGATTCGTTTTGTATGCATTGCAAATTGGCGGATTTTTTCCGTGCGCCATATGAAACAGAAACCCGCGCATTGCAATCAGTGGAAACGACTATTTAAAGACAGATAACGCTGCTAATTCAAAGTCGATCATGATGGATTTCGGATTTAAAAAAATTTTAATATTTTTTATTTGATTGAAAATATTAATATAATCTTGTTGGCGACGTGATGCCATTAGAACATAAATAGTGGGATAATGGTATTATATTTCATCCCATGGATGGTGTATATTTGCTAGAAGAGAGGAAGACATGTCTTAAATGTGCCATCTGCATACCATTTATCGCATGTTGATAAAAATTGTAAATTTTTGATGGTTGAAAATATGATACATCGCATATAACAAAAATTGCTCATTATTATTGGATAATTGATATTCAATTGGTATGACCAAGTCAATCAGACTCATGGAAACGGCAGGCGTTCTTCCTACTTGATGTCTCTTACTTTGAATTGTTCTTTTAATTAAGGAACAACTTGGCATTATTCCAGTGGCGGCTATGGATATATTTCTAGATATATCGGCCATTATATTATTGGGCAGAAATTGAGAACTAGATGCCTCTTGTTTAATTCTATTTTCTCTTCTTGCTTCAATATCTGCAATGTCTGGTACATGGTTATGCTTTTGATTGTGGAATATAGGCATTCCGTTCTTAGTTCTGGCACGTCCACTGCATTCATCCACATGGAATTGAATACATCTCCAATAGGTTGTTTGGTTAGATGTTTTTTCTTTTTGAAATAGGTAATAATCAAGAAGTAGTAACTGATTATTTCGAATACTTAAAATAAATTCAGCCATAATTGAATAATTACTTAAATAAAATGGTCTTTAGTGACAAACATTGAAAAACAATTATAGAGAAACTTTTATAGAGAAAACAATGATAGAGAATGTTGTTTATATAGAATAACATAGATTGTTTTCAATTGATAAACACTTTTAATGTCATAAAAATATCTTGATATACCACATTCAGGTATTATACAATTAAGGTTCATAGCTTAGTGACAAATAACTTTTAACTAAAGAATGGATTAGCCGTGTGTCCCATCTATAATTTAAAATTTTAGGAAAAATAATAATATAAGTAATAACTAAAATAAATTTTGTCGAAGATAAAAAAAGCTTATAAATGAAAATCATTACATTTGTGTTGTCAAATTAATTAGTTACATTTACAAATTCGTAACTGTAGCTGGCTACATTTTAACTAGTTACATTTACAAATTAGTAACTGTAGCTACATTTTAAAGTTACTTAATTTATATATATATCTTAATAAATATAATTAAATAATATTCATTTGTAATAATTTTTTTACATTCCATTACATTATTATGTGATTTAAATCTTAGTCAATGAATTTATATTAATATAAATATATTATAATATTTTCGATTTAAAGTAATTTAATCGATTCAGCTAGCCCTGAATCTACTATCCACTAAAAATAATTGTAACTAGTGACTAGTTATATTTAAAAAAGAAATTTAACTTGTTATATTTTCCCAAATTTAACTACTAACTTAACTAGTTGCATTACATTGCCAAAGTAACTTTTAACAACACTATTTATTTTATTTTGTATTCTTATCTTTAAAAATAAATTTCTTAAACTTCCTTACAAGTCATGTCAAAATTTTGTTCTACCATTAATTCATCTAATAATCGAAAAGCCTTCTGCAAAGATAAGCAAACATTTTTCTGTACCGATTGTAATAACTCAAAAACTACCCAATTATTCGCTTATATAAGGTAATTCTAATTAGAGATCTGCAAAAGTAGGCCCTAGCCCGGCCTAAACGGGCTTCGGGCCTAATATTTTTAAATAAAATTCGGGTCGGGCCTTGGAAATTTTTATAAATATATTTAAATTTATCAATTTTAATTAAATTTTTTATGTAAAATAAAAATTTTTGATTTTATTTATAGAACTAGACTATATATAACATATGTCCTTTTTGAGTTATTGTAAAAATTAATTTCTATATTTAAATAAGTTCGAGCGGGCCTGTAATTTTCTTTAAAAAAATTTTGGATTCGTGCCGGGCTGGCAAAACTTTTTTAAAAAAAATTCGGGTCTGGCTTGAAAAATTAGGCCGATGCAGATCACTAATTATAATATTTAATATGTCAAATACTGTAATTTTTTTCCCCTATGATTATGTAGAGCCTAATTAATAATTACATAAAAATGTTATATATTATATAGATATAACATTTTTTATAAAATAATCATTCTTTAAATAAAATTCTTTATATAATTCTCTATAAAATACATTCTTTATAAAATAATTATTTATAAAAATACATTCTCTATAAAATACATTCTTTATAAAATAATTATTTATAAAAATACATTCTCTATAAAATCATTCTCTGTAAAATCATTCTCTGTAAAATCTTTCTCTATAAAATCATTCTCTGTAAAATCATTCTCTGTAAAATCTTTCTCTATAAAATCATTATCTGTAAAATCTTTCTCTATAAAATCTTTCTCTATAAAATCATTCTCTATAAAATCATTCTTTTATAAACGACATTCTCTATAATTGTTTTCTCTATAAAAATTTTTCAGTAAAATACATTCTCTATAAAATTATTCTCTATAAAATTATTCTCTATAAAATTATTCTCTATAATCGACATTCTCTATAATTGTTTTCTCTGTAAAAGTTTATCTATAATTGTTTTCTCTGTAATGGTTTCTCTGTAATGACGACCATTTCTTTAAATAATTTTCTATATTGCTATTTAACGGTGCCAATTAACTACCAAAGTTAACATCTAGAAGTGTTCTCAGCCCTACAATTTATTCTTCCTCATTATAAATATAATTTGATAGAATAGAATCTTGAAAATATTTTAATTATATATGGCTAAATATTATTTTCTAAGAATAGTGAATAAATTAAAAATTTTTTTTTATATATTTCTAATGCGCGTACGCGAAAAAGGTCTGAACCGATTTTTAAAGACTCAGATCCAAATCGTTATTATTTTTTATGAACTGAATCTGAATCATATAAGCCATTATTTTTATACGAACCTAAACCTGATATTCGTTAGAAATTGGATCTCTGCTTTTGAGGTGTTAATTTAAATTTACGTTAAAATATTTTATGAGCATATTTTTTTCGTGAAATCAAGCATACATGTTTCTTTCAAAAAAAATTAAAAATTTGGCATTACACTTTTGGAACAAAACCCTAAGAAGAGTAGTGTTGTTAAAGGGCTAATTCCATTTTTTAACCAAATTAATATTATCTAAACCTAAAAATTTTGCTTATAGTTGGCAGAAAAATATGGACATATATTGGCAAAATCTCGAAGCTTAAGTAATATTTATTTTTTTAAATCTTGATTTAGGCGTTTGTAAAAATAGGTTAAATTTAGCTGTTTAACAAGACAAGAATTAACATCAGGCTTGACCAGTCAGATCTTGGCCAAGATATTATTTCCAGTTTACCCAATAAAAAAATCTAAGGACATGATACCCGTAAGAATTAAGAATAAAAAAGCTTACATCTTACTTTTTAATCAATCAAAAAAAAATTTGAGAAATATCGAATATCATTATTAATGCAGGAAAAAATAATCGATAATGATTAACTTTATCTTAAAACATCATCTTAGGATTATCTAGTTCTAGTATTATGATTTGTATAATTCTAAAAGGGGTGATAGGGGTGGAAGGATAACATAAATTTGTAACATACTTTTATTTTACCAAATTTTAAAATTTTTATTATAAATAAATATAAAATATAATAATATTTCTAAATTGAATATTATAAAAAAATGTAACATTTTTACAAGAGGTAAAACTGTTAAAAAATAAATAATAATTGTTATATTTTGCTAAATATTGATTTTTTACGTAGATATAAAAGAACACATGGTTTATTTCATAAGCCGAAATGCAATGCAGAACAGTTAATAGTAATTTTATTATGTATTTTTTGAAAAAACTTAAATTATTTCAAATTTTGAAAGCTTAGAAATAAAAATATGATACCACCATAAGGTAGATGACGCAACAATTAAAATATATAAAAATCAATGGGGTCACTAGTGGAGATGTGCCCAATTATTATTTTTTAAACAAAATCGAGACTAGGCTTAATCCTAAATTTTTAAATAAAATTAATTCCCGACCCCGCCATAAAATAAAATTAATTCCATTTTCCAGCCTCAAACCGACCTGAAAATCAATATTAAATAAAAACCTTAAAATTAATTTATTCAGTATGTTATTTATAAGTTTTAAAATGAACGAAATTGGCAAAATAATATATGATCGAACTATGATTTATTGATATCATTGATTAAATTTAAAATTGTAAACAAATATTTTCCAACCTATCCAATATTTTTTTATTATCCGAAACCCTTTCTTCGCACATAAACTTATTAGAATAAGTATAAAGAAGCATATTTTTTTAAATTTTATCAATAATACCCATACTTTAATCAACTAACGTTTATTTTATTATGATTGCGCATAAAAATGTACATAATTTATCAATTAAAAATAATAAATAAACACATTTATTAACTATAATATAAACAGTTATTCTAAAATGTGAACTGACCGATCAATAAGAATTGATTGATCATAATTTTTTAAACAGAACATTAAAAGGTTCAATCCTGTTGTTAATTTTTTTTAGAGGTTCGCAGGTTCGAATGACAAATTTATAGCAGTTCAGATCGCGTAAAATAATATTCATAGGTGTTTAACAGTTTTGGATCTTTGCTACTAATGATTTTTAAGTAACCTTGTAGATTTTCTGAGATCCGGGGTTGATAAGGAGAGAGAATTGGATAAGGCACCTGGAACATCTATGAAATCGAGAGTCGCTAAATTCCAGCTTTTAATCCTTGTTCCGGACGATGAAGATAAAGACATCTAAGCTGATTTAAAAAATATAAAAATAATATATACCTTACGATAAAAAATAACAAAACATTTATATAGAAGGGTGGGTACTCGCAAAATCTCATTAGCCTGAACAACCCATGCAGGAGACACTAAAACACAACCAAGTCGATTCGATTATTCAAAATAGATGGCGTATAAAAATGGACTTATCAATTTAATTTATTTCAAATAGAAAGGAATAGTATTATAAAAGATAAAATCTAAAATAAATTTTTAATCATATAATAAATAGTCGATCTCGATATTACTAAAAATGTTTGTAATTTTTTTTTTAAATAAAATTATAAAAAATTTTGTTCAAGGTTAAAAGCTCCTTTAAATAAAATAAAAATAGTTGTTTGAATGGTTTTTTTAAAGATGAAATATCTATGATAGTAATATTATAAATAAAATTAGAAATGAATTATTTCGAAATATATTAAAATTTTTAAAATTCCTTTCTCATTTACTTACTATAAATGAAACTTAAGATATAAAGTTCAGATATATTTTTATTATAGATCATTGGCAATATATTACCAGAGAACGTGATAGTTGTATATTTTAAACATAATGAGTAAATAGCAACATGCAGAAAAAAATATTTATGTTTGATTAAAATAAGACGATTCCACATTTAGGCCTGCCTATGGGTTAGCGGGGATAGTGTTAAATTTTAACAAAGGTCTGACCTTTGCTAGGGTTGCGCTCCAAATTCAAAATAATTATATAGGCTACAGAGTTTCTAAAGATACTTTTCAAATGTATAGAACAGATATATCACCTAAGAATTTAAGATAAAATTTCCATGCCGGATTCTATTGTTAAGTTCAAATTTTGAAGTGAGATATAATTTTTTTATTAAGTTGATATCTTATCTACATACAAAATAATAATTGTTCGATTTTAATAATACCTATACAAAATTTGTAATTAAATGATTATAAATAATAATTGTTAGATTTCAGTTATAGAGAATTCTTAAAATCTTTATGAATTAATATCCTCTAAGGGGTGCTGAAATCTGATATTAAATTATTTAATTTTTTTTAAGAGGTTATCTGTTTTAAAATCAATTAAAAACTTTAATAGTTCATTAACTAAAATTTAAAATTTATCATGTTGTCATTTATTGTATGAAATAAATTCTGGTTTGTTTTTGTAATGAAATAATATGTTCAGAGTAGGCTAAAGTTTATTTTGAATCTGCCAGTTATTATTATTTACTCCACGATGAAAATATTAAAAAAATTACTTTGGTTCGGGAATTTAAATATTTTTAAATTCGAAATTATGTGTATTTTAAGAATAATGTTATTATTAATATTACCTAAACCTCGACATTTCTCTGATAGATGTCCTTATTTGTAAATAATATTATTTAATAAAACTATCAATTTAATACCCTAAGTAAGATTAGATTTTTTAATGCTTTTAATATAAAAACAAAGATAAATAATTGTGCACTATTTCGGTTTGTCTGGATAAATAATTGTGCACTATTTCGGTTTGTCTGTTTTGGTTCATTAAACTCCATTTTATATTTATATGATCAATAAAAAAAATTAAACTTATCATACATTAAATAAAAATATCCTTAACCTTTTTATAAATTTCACTTAATTAATTTTAAAATTCTGCTGTTTAAAAAATATATTAAAATTATATGCACCAAATATAATCATAACCAAATTATGTTCTGCATCGATCTAGGAGCGATATAATTATTCAATGAGTTTAGGAATTTACATTAGAAATATGCAAAAACTAATTTTTGACCGAAGCTCGCCAGAAGCTCGGTGGTAACAAAATCCTATGGCCTACGTTCGGCCCGTGGCCTGACTTTATTATTGAATTTTATAAATGTATCTCATGCTCAAAATATTTATTTAATTCTTTAATCTCTCTTCTATTATAATGTTACGCATTAAATTTAAATATTCAGCAATAACTGATAATTATCTATTTTATTCTATATATTACAAAATATGATGGAATATTAAATATTTCATGATTTAATCGTGGCAATTAAGCAAAAAGGAAAGAATATAATTAATTTTTTTTTCGAGCCATGGGCCTAGCCTATATTTTGGTGACGATGGGCTCTAATTCACTTAATATATATTCATTATAAATTACAAAATCTAGAGGCTGCATTCAATTTAATTTATACTATTTTCTCTTAGAATGCAATCTTATTATCAACATGCAGGGTTTCCTACTCATAAAATAATAGCAAAGATATAAAAAAAATATATGTGATTAAAAAAGAAATAGTCAATAAAAAAAATTCCCATTCAAAAAATGAAAATCGTTATTTTTTGTATAATTATAAATTATAAATAACTAGTCAAGAATGATAGGGTTGAGGGGTAATTAGTTAGTTTGTTGGTACTAATACTTTATTAATATATTTTATAAAAATATTAAAATTTAAGAGAAAAAGAGGTAAATTTGTGAATCAGATATTCTTAATTTCTGATTCAACTATCATCGAATAAGGGAGAAAAGTATGATGACCCGTCTTTCTTAATGGGCAAAAAGAAAAATATAATAACTAAGAGTACCAGAGCTCCCGTTAGTCAGCATTGCTGAACTAGTCAAAAATGGCGGGGAATGAGAATTTTCTCCTTACTTTTATGAAGTTGTTACTTTTTTTAAAAATAATATCCTATTTTAATTCTTTATAACCTCTCCCCCCTTCAGGCCAGGTCCAATCCATTAAAACTAGGGCTGCGCCGATATTAAATATCGGTCGGATAGGCACTTATATTTAGCGTTGTCCAAAAATATTGAATAGGGCCGATACACGTAAAAAACCGATCCGATCTTTTTACTTTGCCTTTTTTTTGTCATTTTATTTTATGTTATTTTACATTATTGTAATATTTTTTTCTATCTATTATAATATTATTTTATTTTAATATATTGATTCCTTAATTACATTTGGTTCAAAGGGGGGTGGTGAAAAGTCAGTATAAATATCGGTTGGATATCGGTTTGAACCAATATCTGATCGGATAGGTGAAAAATATGTGGATCGGCACAGCCCTAATTAAAACTAAGTGTAAATTCTATTTTTTGAGTCAAAATATATTTAAAGCTTTTACTTGATACCCATATCAATATTATTTGTTAAAATATTACTGATCACCTAAGCCTATTATTAAATATTAAAAAAATTACCAAGCAAGGTCCAAGGCCAAAATAATTTTGAAAAAATTTCTCCAAGCCCAACCAAAGATCATAATAATTTTGGTAGTTGAGAACTGGAATAAAATATTTAAAAAATCATAATGAATTTGAAAATACAATCAAAATCAGATTTTCATGGGCCTTGGTTTTTTAATCAGGCCGAGCCCCCTGCAAAAAAAAATTTGTTTTAGGTCATGTCTGATCCATAGTTAAAATTCCCAAGCGTCCAAGCTGATAATAATTTTTAAAAATTTTAACCAAATCCAACCCAATATAATTTATAAAAATATTTTCTAAGCCCATCCCGACCCACAATAATTTTAAAAAATTTTTCTCAAGCCGCCAACCCTTAATTATTTTGAAATTTTTTTCCCAAACCTGTGGAGATAGGTAAATCTCTAATACCATATCTATTTTTAATTCTTTTTAATCCTGCTCAATCCTACTTCAGACCACGGCCAATCCATAAGACTAAGAATTAAAATTATTTTTTGAGTAAAAATATATTTAAATTAGCATATCTGAGACCCATATAAATGTTCTGTGTTAAATATTATGCCTAATATCTAATATTAAAAAAATTCCCAAGCCAGGTTCATGCATATAATAATTAGTGAAGGTCAACGGTCCGATCCTATCGGTCTTAGACCGGGACCAGATCGATTGTCGGACGTGGTCCGGACCGGTCTTTTTATTTTTTACTTTTATTATTATTTAAGTTTGTTTACTATTCAATTAATATAATTCTTTGTATATTTTATTTTATGATATTTTTCTATATGAGTTATTTTAGATTTTGTTAATTTTTATTTTACAATATGAAAACCATAAGTTTGTCCAAGAAACATTTTATTTATAGTCCCAATAAAAAAGATGTGTTCACTGCAGTACCAAATTTAATGTATCGTCAGCAACAAGTAACAAAATAATTGTTTATAATTTTTTAAGCAATAAATTAATCAAAATAAGCAGTATGATTATTAAAATATTTTGGTTATTATTTATATATAGTTCTATTTTTTTTTAAGAAAATGTCTGAATAATTTATTGTCAAAATAACAACCTTATTCTTATACTTCTAATGAAGAAAATAAAAATATCTCAAAAACACAATCTACTCTTAATTTTAATATGCCCTCCACAAGCACAAAATCACAATACCATTGGATAAATTTTATTGTTTATATAATACTCTTATATTTAATAAAATGATAAAACAAATTAAATTAGGTTAAAAAAATGTGTTTTTTAAACAAATAAAAAGACCGGTCCTGGTCAGGTCTTTCTATTAGGACCACGGTCTGGATTGATCTTTTTCTTAAGGACCGTGGTCCGGTCCGGTCTGAGGCTATCGGTCCAGTCCGGACCAAAGACCGGACCGTGGCCTTCACTAATAATAATGTTGGGAAAATTTTCTCAAGCCCGCCAAAGACCTTAATAATTTTAGTAGTTGAGAATTGAAATAAAATATATAAAGTCATATTTCATTTAAAAATCACCTATTTCTTCTAGCCCATATTAATTAAAAAATTTTTTAACCATCTCTATTTTAAATTTTACCCAATATGATTTCTATCATAAATTTAAATTTTATTCTAATATAATTAAATTTAAGACATTGTTATTAAATTACAATAGAAATAAATGGCAAAATTTAAAAAATATCAGCTATGCTAACGGCAATTGAGTTGTATTAATATATATAATTAATATTTTAAATGTAATTATAATTCAAGTTGGTGCAAGAGAAAAGCGTGTACTTATGAAACGGGAGGGTGGTTCGATGATAGTTGATGGC